CAACTATATTTGTATGATAAACATTTGTATCAGGTCAACAAAACATGGGCATAGTAACAATATTTTTATACTGCATTTATCCATTTTAAATATACTAACCTCACTCCAATCTTTTCAGGACCCCATCTTGATGTTTCGGGACCCCACTTTGGGTCCCGACCCCAACTTTGGGAAACACTGCACTAACGGCATTCAAAGTTATTGAAAAAGCTAATCCACTAAACAAAAAGTTGTGCTAGTTGATTAGCAGAGCCATGCTCACCTACACCCCCACCTGTGGTGGGCGTACAGATAACCAAAAAGTTATTGTTTAACAATTCTCTGGCTAAAAATTTAGTATTGCTGATGCTAAACCCAATGGGTAAAACATTAAATATGAATTCAAGTTCAAATGAGCAGAAATTGTGCTAATTGTGAACAGCTGACCACAGTGGGACTGACACTGTTAGTGGGCTTCAATAAGCTAATTGGTCTACTAATGTTTTTCAAAGTTATTGAAAAATCTAATTAAAAAAACCAAAAATTAGTTTCACTATTAGCTGATTAGTGGAATCCACCACTGTCTGTTTCTCTACCCATATCTACAGGTAAGGACAGTTATTTATTTAAAAWATATATTTTTAAGTTATTTGCATTTTATTTTTGCACAAAACAGGGCAAAACAAACTATAGATCCAACAGAACAATCAAATTATATTAATAGCTAAAATCACAAAAATAGGCTATAAAAATTCACAACAATCTGAAAGGCAAAATTTAAAGCACAAGCATTAAGATCAATAGTTTCCTCTGCATTATTTAGGCACAAATGTTTATTAGTAATGTCCCCTCAGCTGTCAAGGTGGAGCTGATCCGGTCCGTCCTTTGTTCCTGAGCCACCTGTGCTGCGCCTTTAAGATCTGACATCTCATAGGCGTGTTTCCTGGTGCCATTCACTAAATCCAAGAGCTGCGATTCTGCTGCTGAGAGAGGAAAGAAAGAAAGAAAGAAAGAAAGAAAGAAAGAAAGAAAGAAAGAAAGAAAGAAAGAAAGAAAGAAAGGAAAGGAAGGAAGGAAAGCTCATCACATCATAATCTGGGATCATTTATTCTTTTCCACGTTTGTTTCTGAACAACTGAAGGTTTGAGCAGCAGGTCTGGGAATGCGCCGCAGCTCGTTTCGGTTTCATCCAGGGTGGATTTTCCTTTCGTGTCTGCTGGGAAACATCTGTCGCAGTCGCGTTTTTTGATGGATTTCTAATCATCCGACTGATTACTGGAGGGATTAAAGGACTGTTTGAGGAAGGAGAGCCGCACATGCCGTCCATGATGTGACTGCGACGCTTTAATCCAAAGAAAGAAAAAAATGCGTCCCAGCTGCGTCTTTGCGCAGAACTGAATAGATTTATTTTAATCATCCCAGCGGAGCGGTTTGAGTTGAGGGAGAAGAGCACCATGTCGGCGGTGATGATCACCCGAAAGGTGCGGAAATGGGAGAAGCTGCCGGGGAAGAACACGTTCTGCTGCGACGGGCGGGTGATGATGGCCCGCCAGAAGGGGGTCTTCTACCTGACCCTGTTCCTCATCGTCGGGACCTGCTCCCTGTTCTTCGCCTTCGAGTGAGTCCAGACCAGATCCTTTTATGGKGCCCGGCTCAAAGCTCGTGTCTCTGTCCTTAATTGGCTGGATGTCCAGAGCGTGCCAAGCTGAGCCATGTTCGATTAATCGCAAATTCGATTTATTAAAAAAAAATAATGAAATATTAAATTAAAAGTACTTAAATTAGGTGTAAAGCCATACATTTTGGAGATCTAACAACAGCTAATAATAATAATAATAATAATAATAATAATAATAAAGACTTATTGTTCTTTTATTCAATAAGGTTGTCTGTTATCTCACAACCACTGGTCAAATTTAAATGCAACTCGCAGCAAATAATCATTTAATGATATTATATATCTGATTAACTTTTAATATTAATTCAATAAAATATGTCTGCCACAGCCAGCTGAACTGGAAAAAACACAGAAATGTCTCTAACTCAGTCAAATTTAAAGATATTGTGCTAACATGTGGTGTGGTAGTAGCTGAGACTGATCCCTAACTTGTTTCCTGAGCTCTAGAAGATCACACAAGATCTTTGTTTAAAATGTTGCCATTAAGCGTATGCGATCAACCCTGTCTGTTAGCAAAATATCTTAGAACCACCAGAAGGATTTGGACGAAAMTTTCAGGAAGTAATTATCAATTGTGCAACTATAACTGATTAGATCTTAGTGTTGACCCAATTTAAAATGGCCACCACAGCTAATGCAGTTAAAAAAACACAAAATGTCTCTAACTCAGTGCAGATTTAAAGATATTGTGCTAACATTTGGTGTGGTAGTAGCTGAGACTAATCCCTGACTTGTTTCCACAGATCGCAGTTTAAAATATTGATTTTAACTGTTTGCAGTCAACTCGGTCTGTTAGTAAAATAYCTCATGAACCACGAGATGGATTTGGATGAAATTTTCAGGAAGTAATCATCAGATGTGCATCTATAACTCCTGAGCTTTGGGAAATGACTGAAATCAAGATGGCCGCCACAGAGTTAACACAGTTTTAAAAATAAGAAAAAGGTCAATAATTCAGTCAGTCTTTTAAATATTGAGCTGAAAACAACAAGTTTAACGTTTAAATCTGTCCAATTCAAGATGGATGCTATGGTTAGTCGACATTAGTTGACACAAAAAATGTCAGTTTTCTGGATACTGAGCAGAAATTTGATGTGGTAGTAGCTGAGCGTCATTCAAAAACGTACTCTGAGGGTCCGGTTGTGCACAAGGCTTTTTCTAGGTTTGACCAAAACAGCTAAAATGAAGAGATTAACTGAAACTCTGGTGCGAACAGTAAACTCAGGTCCCATCAGTGTTTCTAATAATCAGCCTTTTTTATCCTTTCTTTAGCTCTTGTTGGCTTTATCCAAACACACCAGGCTCGATGATTTAGCACAAAATCCTGCAGTCTCTCTCTCCTCTGCTGAGGGTGTGTGTGCTTGCAGCTATTAGGCCATTTAAGGTGCAGCAACAGAGATGCTCTCACACGAAGCCAGGCTCTTCCTGCACGCTAATGGCCTCCTGCTTCCCTCTGAGTCCGGGCAGAAGGTTCTCGTGTCCGAAAGAGCTGATGCTGCTCACTGAGAGCTCAGGAGGTACGGAGATAATGGCCTGAGGGTCGTTAGCTCGATATGTTCATATTACAGCAGAACATAATTATCCTGYGTGGACGGGGGAGGGATATTGAAAYTGATATAAGGCCCAAAAGACACRAGGGTGGGACTCAGACTCACAGTTTAAAAGCAGCTATGGATCTGACTAAAAACCTGTCCGTGTCAAATGCTTCTGTTGGGCTCTTTAATATAACTGATCTAGAACTGACTTTTTTTTCCCTCAGTGTTCTCTCAAATGTGCTGCAATCAATTTTAATCCCACTAGCTGTGGCGGCTGTCTAAAATTAAATGATATTCAGTTTTAGAACTACTCTCTGCAAGTTTCATTAAGTTTGTTTAATGTTTTATGACGTGTTTTGGTCACACAACAGACATACAGTATAAACACACACACACACAAAGGACAAAACGTTCATACCAGTCTGCTAACTAAAAAAATAATTAACTCCTGCTGATGTAAAACCGCTAAACATGAAAAATGTTAAAAAAAATGAAATGGCGGAAGCTAACGTTAACTGACAACAGCTAACTTAAGCGCCAAATTCCTGTTGTCGGAGGCAGAAATGCACTTCCTGTTTTCTTTTTCAGTTCATGTTTTTCAAGATAAATGACTGTAACAGACAAGAAAAAAAGTGAGTTTGGTCAGCAGACTTAAAGTTAGCGAAACTAAATTTAGCAGAATCTAATTGGTCCGCTAATGTTTGCCTAAGTTAGCTTCGCTGTTAGCAGGTTAGCGGAACCATGCCCACCACTGAGTTTGATTAACAGCAACAAGGCTATTTGCACATTTCRCTCAATTCTTTTGTTCAAATCTGTCGATATTAAACATTTAGAACCAAACTGGACCCGTCCTCCTGTTGAAATGAAGTTAAAGTGTCGTAGCCTACCGTAAAGTGAACTAAATGATACAATGTTCCAATAAAACAGAGCAAAGTGCAGCAGATTAGAAGTGGCAAAAGTCTGATTTAATTCTATTAACTCAAGGCATCGAGCTTCAAATGAAAAAATGTGAGTCTTTTATTAGTGTATTACTATTTGTGGTTTGAGCAGTTCTTCATGTTGTTTAAAGATTTTCTGCTTTTCGTGGTTTATGATGAAGCGAACGTTTCTTTACATAAAATCAGAGAAAAAATTATAATTACCAAACATACTGTGCTGAAAATGAGTTTTTATCACCTGCTGCCAAAGGAAAAATGGCAATAATGTAGCCACGTATTTGCTCAACTGTCATAATTTCATGAAGCACGGGACAAATTTTTAATTAAACTCTGTAAATATTTACTGAATGTTCTTCTACACCTGATTACATCTTGCAGTTACCCTAACTGAAGATGGCTGCCACAGCTAGCTGACCTAACCAAACTCAAAAATGGACAGAACTCGTCAGTTTGACAGATATAGGGTTAAAATTTGTTGTGGTAGTAGCTGAGAGTCATCCCCAACACATACTCTGAGGACGAACAGATCACCTGAGGCCTGGCATGATGATAACATTTATAAAATTCATCCATCTCTTGTCAGTATTTGGTGATGTTTAACTAACCCCAGGTCTTTATTTCAAAAAGAAGCGTTCTAATGACAAACAACATGGGTGTTTGCAGTTTATTAGCGGTTTATTCATATTAAAATCTGGTGAGTTTCTGGTTGCTGAGTGGAAAGGCTGGGACTACTTCCCGCTGCCTCCTGGCTCCCGTCCAACACCAGCCGAGCGCACGCCTCGCCATCCTCCTCCTGGCGTCGGCACAAACCTCCCCATGCTTCAAATCGCTCCGAATCGAGCTGCAGTGTCCGCAAACGGAAAGAGTCGTTAGAAAGATGTAAACAGATTTAGTTGTTGGAGAGGTGGGCCGGCTCCTGCCTGTCCGTCTGTCTGCCTGTCTGCCGTCCTGCTGGGTTTCTGCAGCGTTCTGATCCGTTTATCCTCCTGAACTGAGTGCAGATATCTGAAGATCTGCTTGTGTTGAATGATGGCTGGGTTTGGATATCTATGAGTGCACGTTACATGWTTTGCATACGCTCATCACCTCCTACAGAGTTCAGTTGGAAGAAACTGGAAGGCAGGAGCAGTTTGTCATCTGTCCACTGCAGGACGCGTAGCTGCAGCCAGGACAGCATATGTGCATGCACCGAGTCTTTTCTTTGTGTTCTCCCCACCGTACCTCAGTGTGTCTGTCTGACGAGCACCAGGCATGTGAGAGGTGTTACGAAGACGAGCGCAGGGTCGATCCTACAGAGCGAGGAGATCTTTTTATCGTCTGACCCCACCCTGTCTCCTTGTCATGAAGCAGCCTCCAGCTGAGGCCAAATGAGCAATAACATGATTTATGTCCTGTTCAGAGTGCACGCTCCAGCTACACAGATCTGCAGGCCTTTGTTCTCTGGAAGCGTCTCTCCCGGGAAGAGATGGATTATTTTTCCCACCACATCCTGCTTCCATACAGGGAGRAACGTTTCATTATGACTCCTTTCCACTTGTCTGGATGTTTAAATGAAGACACGAGCGTCTCTCAGATCAGCGTTTGCCTTCCAGATTTTCTTTTTAGGTTTCTCTGAGTGAATCTCATGTGATGCAACAGCTGGGATTATAATCTGCATTAAAACGTCCGTGACCCCGGCTCTGAGGCTGTGTTTTTCTAATGTAGTATTTAAATGTTGCGTAACAAGAGAGGCTGATTTAAACCAGGGAGCAGACTAAAAACATCCCAAAGAGACAATATTAATCAGATATTTACAAAAAAGATGAAACTTATCTTAATCTAGCACAAAAAATCAGATTATTTGAAGAATTTATGATTCTATAAACAGAAAGGAAAATAAAACATTTGACTTTAAGCAAGAAATTAAAGAGTTTTCACTAATCGCACCAAACGACGTGTTTCCACAACCTGTCAGTTGAAGTAGTAAAATAATAATTAAAACAGTAAAAGCTAAAACAATAATAATACGTCGTCTGTCAGAAGGCAGCTCCCTAATCCTCTGATCACAGTATTTGTCAAACAGGTTATATTTGCCAACGGCCCAATAAAACTCCTGAAACTCTATTGTGGTTTTGGATTTGGTGCCGCCCCAAGAACTTCTGTGGCTCCCCTGCAAACTCATCATCCAAGTGTTTTTGCTGCGTGACCGTGTCCTATCAGGAAATACTGCTAAAACTTATTAACAGAGAAGAGTTTTGTTGTATTTGTCAAACCTAACGGCCACGTAAACAACATCAATCAGGTGTTTCCTGCAGAATGTTCGTCATTAAAATTCATCCTGAAGCTACGCTTTTTCCTAAGTAAGAAATGCACAAAAACATAAAATATCAGACCAGGCTTTTTTTCCCCACTTTGATCCATTTTAGTGTGTTTTTTTTTTACGCTCCCTCTGGATGCAGCAGTGGTTGCAGATCGATGTCGGCCTGTTTGTAGCTCTGCAGCAGGAGCAGAGTCAGATGAGCTGCATTCGGCCAGCAGAGCAACATTTCTCTCTCAGACAACACAGGTCCATTTTATAAGTGAATCAGGAACGTTTAGCTACATGACTGGTGCCAAGGATATCCTTTTTTTGTCTTACTTTTGGTAAATTAGTTATGGGCACAGCTTATCAAATGGTTAGCTTTGCTAACACGTAATCCACCAACTAAAAATGTAGCTTCACTAACGCTAAACATATGAAATTTAGCTAACGATGAACAACTAAACAAGTAAAAATTTGTGAAAGCTAACACTAAACAGATAAACAAGTAAAATTTAGCAGAAGCTAACACAAATGCTAATTGCTAAAACGGCCATGGACATGAATACATAGATGTCTCATTAAGCGGGATGGCCATTAAGCTAATACAAGTAAATGGACCGAACATCATAAAGCGACGTTCTACAAAGTATTTTTAGCCAATGTTCGTTATCGACCCATTCACACACAAATACGCATAAATTAAGCTTTGAATACGAACGTCATACACAGACTGGTGAATGTGACGTGAGAAAATAAAAAAATAAATAAAACGCAGCAGCTTCTTGGAATGTCTGCTCCAGAGGGATGTATCAGAGCTCCCAAGATATTGATTTTTCTCTTCAATTTTTTTTTATCTGTATCCAGTAACAGAGGAGGAGGACAGTAGAATCCCAGCATTATGAGTGGAGGGACAGGGTTGTAATAATTACATTAAAAGTGTTTTTTTTTTTTAAATCTGCTGTTTGATTCCTGCAGGACTTCTGAAATGAACAATCGTGATGACACATTAAATTCAGCTTTAAGATTTTAATTTGATATCTACACTGAAGGAGGTTCTCATCTTTAGGTTCAGGTCACTCTGAGTTAAGAAACTTCAGGGTCAAAGTCTGCAGCGGCCTCACCTTTAAACATAGATCACTTATACTGTATGTGCCAGCAGGTTTCCTTGTGTTYTTATAGTCAAACACAACTGGAGTTAACTGACTCTGAGAGGCCTTAGCAAACACATAAGTGGCTATAACTTTAGTTTTATGAATAATGAGCTAAAATTTTATTTGATGGCCAAGAGTCCCTTCCAACACTGAGGCCTAACAATCATTTTCGATTATCAATCCAGGTGGAGGGTCATACACATTGTAACACTAACAATAAAGTGATTCTGATTATGTTTTATTGGATTATTTGGCTCTAAACTGAGCTCACCTGCTGTTGGAGCTGCAGCCAGGTGAGTTCTCTCCAGGGTAGAAACCTGAAAAACTGGATTTCCTGGTTCTGTTGCATGTTAGTTTTAATGTTCCKCTCCCTGAAAACAAGCATCCCTGACCCTAACACATACCATCAAACCACACATATCATCTTTAATCAGTCACACTAACCAGATTTGAATTGATCACAAAAAGACAGAAAGCTGWGTCAAAGTCTGAGCGCGTCTGATTTGATTGCGATGTGAACGTTTTCCCCTCTCGTTGGACTCAGGAGTTGATTAAATGCAGTTTTCCTGCAGCTCCTRTGCTGTTTTAACGCTCGGTGACACGCCGGCTCCTCGGCAGCAGAGGAAATGGTTCCACTCAGGAAGGAACGTGACCATCAGAGCTGATGGGAACTGATGATAGAGCGTGACTCGAATACCTTCGGGTCATCAGTGCCGAGYGAGCAACCTGCTCTCTGTGCCGACACGGGAAGCAGGAAGTCTTCCACTGATCTGAACTCTGAACCCAGTTTCTGTCGGTGGGGGGAAGAAGCAGGGGAACGACTCAAACTGGTGCTGCAGGTGCTGTCGTGTTGTCTCTCAGGTATGCTGATATACCTGGTTTAGCTGTACGCCTGCAGATGAACAGATGGACTTTGTTCTTTACCGAGTTGTGCTTACTGGCAGGGTTTTATTTGATTTTATTTAACCACATCCTTGTTTTCTTTAGGCGTCCTGTCAGACAGAAAACCTGTAACACTGTGCAACAAATAATCACGTTACATCACTGTCTGAACAGAATTAAAAATATTTAGTTKGAGACCATTTAACAGCTTCTGAAATGTGATGTTTTATCACAACATTTGTAGCTGCGTCCTGACCTGCAGCTGCGAGGTGAAGGCTGTTTATAGTCACGCCTTTGTGTCTGTTATCATAATATCTCATGAACCGCTCAACAGATATTTACAGAACCTGTCCGTTAGCATTTGAATTCAGAATAATTAATACAGAATACGACATGCTTCAGTTACGTTAGGCATTACGTAATGTTGAGCTTTATGTGTTGCAGATAAGACAAAGGTGATGACTGGAGTTGAATTTGTGCAAAAAAGCTTTAAAATGAAATAAAATGGGAAACAAATAAAGGCTACTGAGGGAGGTGGCAGCAGCGGAGACTAATGGGAATGGCGAACAGGTGCAGGTGGGCGTGGCAGGACTGAGGAGCAGARACACRGGGAGGCAAAGGAACAAACTGAACTTATACAGAAACTAAACATCACAAGAAGCAAAAACAGAAAATCACACATGGCTGCAGGAGCTGAGCGTGATGGTTGTAGATATTTCCCATCATGCACCATTTAGTAAAGCAGCCTTTCAACGTTGCATCATGACTTTATCCTCTCAGGATACGAGGAAATGTTTTTGTTTGAACGCTGAAGGCTCAGTCGGTGCAGCAGTTTGCTCTGCAGCCTGAAGCACAGAGCTGTTCTTTTCTTTTTCTTCAGAAGGCGATGATAAGGCCATGACTTCCAGACAAACGGCAGAGTTCAGAGTTCACGACCTCGCGCTCCGAACAGCCGTTCAGCCGGCGCAGCATCTCATCAGGTCGTGACCTCAGACTTGTGTTCTCGCCTCGTGTCTCTCTGCGACGCAGTCCTTTACCTGAACGTGAATTCACAAAACCAACCCCTTCGTCCGGGCGTCCCGCTTTGTTTTAAATGTTTTATCTGACGTTTTGCTCTCGCTCGTGTTCCTCTCCACAGATGCCCTTACCTGGCTGTCCACCTGTCTCCTGCCATTCCGGTTTTCGCCATCATCCTCTTCCTGTTCGTCATGGCCTTCCTCCTGAGGACGAGCTTCAGCGACCCGGGYGTTCTGCCGCGGGCGCTGCCAGAGGAGGCCAGCTTCATCGAGATGGAAATCGGTGAGTTAAAAACTTGTCTACTTTTATTTTAATGTCAAATTATCTGTCTGCTGAAGCTGTGACTGGTTTAATGAAGATTTACTTTTTAAAGGGATCCACGGTTAGTTGTAACATTAGACTTTATTTGATAAACATATTTTAACTGTAAAATAAAAACTGTAAAAATACTGTTGGATGTTTAGTTTTGTAAATATTTTAAAAATACTTTTACACGGACGGAGTCATTTTATTTACACGCAAAGCATTCTGGGTAAATGATGACGTGAATAGGTAATCTGTGTGAGWGAGCTATATCCACCCTGAAGGTTAATCTTGGACAATATCTGAYGATCGACTCTTTTAAATGAAACCAGAGAGCGTTGACAGAGAGGAGAAGGTAGAAATGACTCAGCCTGTAACTGAACATATAGATGGAGGACAACAGAGCTGCTTCATGGGAGAAGAACCTCAGCTTAGCCTGTTAGCTTTAGCTTAAGCATCATTGCTATATTGCCTTGTACGTTTTAGCTCAGCGCTAGCGTGACAAACTAACAAGCTAAACTGAGGTCCTCCATCCATATTTTCAGTTGCAGGCTGAGTCATTTTTGTGTTCCCCTCTCTGTCATGTTGATGGAAGACCTCAGTTACGAGAGGAGAATGTGTAGCGCTGAGCTAATACATATATATGGTGATAGCATCGGGGCTAATGCTAAAGCTAACAGGCTAAGTTGAGGTTCCTCGCACCATTGACCTATCGACATCATCATTTACCCAGTATGCTTTGCGTGTAAATAAAATGGCTCAGTCCGTGTAATATATTTTTTAATATTTAGTTAAAAAATAATAAAAATTAAACAGCCTACAGTATTTTTACAGCCTTTATTTTAATTTAATTTACAGTTAAAATATGTTTATCAAATAAAGTCAAATAATACGACTAATTATGGATYCTTTTAAAATATTTGTTACTATATTATTTATTTATTTTGTCCTGGATGAATAAAAAATATCATTAGTTCTTTTTAAAATTTTCATACAAACAAAACGATACGAAATTTTTACATTTATCACAATTAAAGCAAATAGTGACTAGATCGGCTTTTAAAGATGTGGCATTTAAATAATTTGTTTGCCTTATTTTCTATCTTTACACACTGTTCTTACAGATTTTTGACTGAATATTTAAATACAGGAATCAAATTCTTCTTAGTTTTTATTGTTTTGCCTGTTTATATTGTCGAAATGGTTCCAGTTTGTAATCTCCTTGATGCTCTGGTGTTAGCTGCTCTTTCCTCGAGCTGCTCTTCATCCTCATCATCAGCACCTTTATCGCCATGCGTTCAAATGTTCCAGCAGCGTTTTTGCCTTGGYTCTAATCATTTTTACATCGTCTCCACCCGGGACGTGGGCTGCAAATTAAAWGGAAACAGTTCAACAGGAAGTGTTTAGGAGGAATGAATTTTTCAGTAAATTTGTTCTCTAAGCCAAACCTTCTGATTTATTCATGATTGTTATGCGTCTATATTTATCTTTTTCTTGTTCATGAGGCAGTTTGTGCTCATCTGAAGAGCTCCATTCAGATCAAGCTACCTGAGAATTGTTTGTTCTTTTACTCTGTGGTATTTTTACCTCTCCCTGTGCGGCTCTACTTTTTGTCTTACACTTTGTTAAAAAAAAAATCCTAGCTGCTGGTGACAGAAGAGGTCTGTGAAAGCAGGGCTGAGTAAGAGGAGGAGGAAGCTGCTCTCTGACTCATTCTGCAGGATGACGAAGACTCACTCAGCCTCAGTGACCCTAAAACTCCTCCATGAGGAACTCCCACCTGGACCGATCTGCATAACTAGAAAACAGAGAGAGCTTATAGGCATTCAAATAATTTAGAGAATTAATAGGAAATTATTTGGATTGTTTTCACAAATTCAGGTGTTTTCAGGCCAAAATGTAACATTTTTTCTTCTATTTCTATTGTWACTAGAACAAAATTATAGAGAACATCTGTCAGTTTAATCAGTGTCGCCATTTAATGTAGTTAATTTAGATGCCAATGTTATTTATTACAGAAAGTATCTATCAAACAGAACATCCCATAATAAATTTATTAATGAACGCAGAGATGAAAAATGTCTTTGTTGCTTCAATTTGAAAATGCTACAAAACTAAATTTCCGACATTTTTTTCTTTTAGCTCTTGCTGCAGATCGTGATTGATCATATTTACAACATTAAGCCCACATGGCAACAGTTGTCTGGCCCACGCAATGCACTACACACTCAGCCCAGGTATCACAAGGAATGACGGACCTTTGGTGGCCCAAATGTGGTTTGCCAGAGGTGGTCCATTTATGGGACAGATTTGGGCCACTTAAACCAAACCACAACCGGGCCAGTTGTAGTGTCATTTAAAGTGTCTGTGACATCAATTTTTTGTAATAAACATGAATGCATTTTTTGGAAAGAGAACATTGATAACTTATTGCAAAACAATTTTCACGCCACTGAGAWGAACAKTTGTTGAGATATTTGCGAGTGAAGTAACAGGAAGTGATGTCAAAAGGGAATGTGTGCATGTTAACAGAGCATTGTTACAACCGCTAACAACAGAGGCTGTGGAGAAGAATCTGATGTTTTTTTAGATTAGTTTAAATTTCTATCAAAGAGAGATGAAGAAGAGTTAAAGTTTAAATAATATTGTTTTAATAAACAAAGACCAGAGAGTTTATTTTATTAAAGAGTTCCCCTTTGATGTCACTTCCTGTTTCACTTTGCTGAGCCAAATACAACAGAAAATAGGTCGGTTATGAGACGAGATGTGTAAAATCATGTGTATTACTATTGTGCCAATTTTCTTAAGCCTAAAGATGTTTTCTTTGACTTTTTGTATTTGAAGATGTTACAGGCACTTTAAAAACAGTGCCATCATTGCCAGAGCTGGCCCACACCAGCGATGTGCATCCCTTCAAGAACATCTAAGCCTTTATTTTAAATGTTTGATTAAATTTTTGTGATAATGATCTGGAACAGTCGCAAAAAGCAGGCGATCATTTTGAAGCGGCAACCTGGATGTTTTGTCTTCTCAGCCTGTTAGTGGTGATCCTGATGGAGGGGTGGGGGGATGGTGGGATGGGGGTGGGGGCACTAATACGAGAAGATGGATCCTCTTGGAATATAAAACGCCACTGATTCACCCGAGGGAGCGGCATCAGTTCCTGTGACTCACAGATTTGTCCTCTGCTGCCTTTGTCCTGAAGACCACCACTCTGAGAATTAATGYCAATTATCTTTTATCTGTTAGGAAAAATATTTTCACAGCTTTCATTTGGTGGTTTAGATATTATTTCTGCAGAGAAAATCTTCACTAATGGCTTTATACAAATGCTAAGAGACTAATTCAGAGCCCTCTGTCTCCTGCCGAGTTAATTTAATTCCCACAAATATTGTCTGTTTTTATCTTAATGCATCCTCAGAAAATCAAATGAGAAAGCTTGCTCTTTTCCATTAAGTGCACGCCTCGCTGCAGCRTGATAATGGTGGATTTTCTCCTCAGCAGCTTTTCTCCCGAGAGGTCCTGCAGCGCCGCTCCTGCTCCTCGCAGGGCAACAAAACCTGAACATTTAAATCCTCGATGATGAAGATAATTTGTTTGGTGGCTGCTGAGCAGTAAACAAGACTCCTAAAAAAAGATTTGAGTCTTTTCAGTGCAAAGTGATGYTGAAATGTACACATTTAACATTATCACCTGACATATAAAAGCAAAAGATGAACAATAATGTTTTCACCTGTGTGAGCATTTGTCTGTCAGCAAAATACTTCATAAACCATTTCAAAATGGCTGCCAAGGCTAATAAATCTTAACCAACATGAAAACAGCTGCTGTTTTTTTTAACAAGAGATCTCAGTCTAAAACTCTGACATAAGTGTTAAATAAATTACTGATGTTTCTTCATCAAAATGTTCACAGTTTTTTTGTGTGTGTGTGTTTTGATCATTGAGCTGCTGTTTCTGTTTTAATAACTTCTATCTATTTATTCATATTTTCACCACAGAGGCTGCTAAYGGAAACGTCCCAGCTGGACAACGACCCCCACCTCGAATCCGCAACGTCCAGATCAACAACCAGATCGTCAAGCTGAAGTACTGCTACACCTGCAAGATCTTCAGACCGCCGCGAGCGTCTCACTGCAGCATCTGTGACAACTGCGTCGGTACGAAACCTTTTACTGATCCGACAGCTCCGTTCAAGCTTTTATAGCTTTTTATTTTAGAATAGAAACAAAAAGGTTTGCGAGGAAATATACTTCAGCTTTAAATATCTCATTACATTCATTTGTCACAGTKATTAAATGATTTTAGAGGTTTTATGTTGAATTAAGCGAAGTTTTCAGAAACTTAAATGCTAAGTCATAATCCGCTAACTAAAGATATAGTTTCGCTAATGCTAAACCACTAAACATGTAAAAAAATAGCAAAGCTATGGCTAAATGAGTAAAAACTTACTAGAAGCTAACACTGAACAGTCAAACAAGGAAAAAAGAGCAGAAGCTAACACTAACAGCTAATCTCTAAGACGACTGTCACTCAGTTTGCGTCAACTGTCTTCGTCTCCTTCCACTGAGGGCTGGTGGGACTGACACAAACCTGTTAATGTTAGCTTGTTAGTTAGCTGTTAGTGGACTTAAAGTTGGCAAAACCTAATTTAGTGGACGCTGATTGGTCCAGTAAAGGTTTTCAAAGTTAATGAAAAAGCTAACCTGCAACGTTAAACATTAAAAAACAAACAGCGGAAGCTAATACTAAACTAGTTGAAAGTGCTGCAAACTAACTCTAACAGTGATTAGCTGTTAGTATTTTAACGTTTTTTTAAAGTTAGTGAAAAATCGAATCTGCTAAACAACAAATTACTTCTGCTAGTAGCCGTGAGCTGATTAGCAGAACCACTGCGTGCATGGAATTTCACAATATTTTTTATTAGGGTTTACATTTTAAAGGGGGTTGAAGAGAAAAAAGCCTGTCTTAAGCTTGTGAAAATGTTTGTGTGTGCGTTTAAGGTTGCCAACTCAGCCCCTTCAAAATACGAGACAGCTCCAACAGGGGCGGAGCTTAATGACATAATATGTCAATTATGACGTCATCTCGTAATATTTCTTATTTCCCCAACGTTTGGGTCACGTCCACTTAAAAACCATTTATTCTTGTTTCTGTTATTTCCATGTAACACGATGGATTAAAAAGAAGGATTTAATGTGTGTGTGTGTGTGTGTGTGTGTGTGTG